TGGCTGTATTCATACCATGCTCAAATCACACATTGAACTTATCACTGATTGATGCTGCATCAGCTTCTATTGAGATCAGCGGTTGTTTTGCAACAGTACAGAAGATTTATACTTTTCTTTCTGCATCAACTACCCGGTGGGATATTGTAAAGAAGCATTGTTCATCTTTTAATGATTTAGTGCCGAAAGCATTGAGCACAACACGTTGGTCAGCACGAAAAAATGCCATCAAACCGCTTTACAGGAATCTGAATAAAATTATTGACGCACTCGCTAAAATAAGCAATTCCCAATCTTTTGATGCAGACGTACAGTATGAAGCAGATTGCATTATAAATTTTCTTGATTTCAAATTCATTTGCTCCGTTTGTATATGGCATGCAGTATTGGAACAATTTGACCGCGTATCAAAACTGATGCAACGCATTGATATGAATTTGGGCGGCGTTGAAATTCTTCTCGCTGATGTAAGTCAGTTTTTAGTTCAATTCAAAGAGAACGGATATCAACAATCTGTTATAGAAGCAACCGAAATTGCAAATGAAAATGACATTCCAGCCAATTTTGAACAAACAAGACGTGGCAGACCACGTAGAGAAAGAATCGATCCAGAAACATTATTCAAAGAAAAGTTTTTTGATTTTCTTATCGACGTCGCATCCAAATCGATTGATGACCGATTCAAAGCAATACACGATCATAGCCAACTCTACTCATTTCTCTACCAATATCAGCATTTTAATGAACGCTTTTTAAATGGAGAATTGATTAGTCACTGCCGCAAACTACAGAATGCTCTGACTCATAATGGCAAATCAGACATTGATGCAAATGAATTGTGCAACGGGCTCCGAATAGTCGGAAGGATTATGGACGGCTGCGGAATCGGCCATATAATTGAAATTCTTAATAAAATTGCCGAAAAAAGATTGGAAACTTCATTACCGAACGTAGTAATCGCCTACAGAATTTTGCTCACGCTTCCAGTGAGCGTGGCAACTGGCGAGAGGACTTTTTCAAAGTTGAAGCTACTGAAAAATTTTCTCCGGAGCAGAATGCTGCAAGAACGATTAAGCAACTTAGCAATAATTGGTATAGAAAAAGATGTTTCGAAAACGTTGGACTACACTGAAATCATCGATGAATTCGCAAGCTTAAAAGCGAGGAAATTTAGTTTTAAATAAGAATAAGATCAAACTGCGTATACACAAGAACGAATAATAAAAATTTCAATCAGTGCTATATTTTTTCACAAATCAAATGTTGTTGCTTTCTTTTTAAAATTTGAAGGCGCTTAGAAAATTTTTGCACCTCGGCGCAAGCGCAGCAAAAAAAGTCACTGACGTTAGTGTATACAAAAACAGAACTTTAGCAAATTCGTTTGACGGCAATCAAAAATTGTGAAAATGTGTCAGATGATGAATTATCATCCGGAACTTCACACGATGAAGTGGCCAACAACGAGTGAAACGAGATGAGATACAGAAGGAAAAAAGAAAATTATGTTGGGATTGCGCGTCTCGCAGAAACAAACACAAAATAATGACAAAATAAATAAATCTATCGCATTGTAACGATGTCGAGTCATTTGCTATTTTCATCTCGATACTTCCGCTATTCGAATTACTTCTTTCCTCCTTCTCTGCTACGTTCGACTCCATTTCTACGGAACGGAGAAAAAGGCAAATCATGGCCTCGGTATGCAACGTTCGAGCGACACACAGAGAGAGAGCGTAACAGAGTTGTGCCTGTTCGAAATAACAAATCGACACATATCCATCATTCGATGTGATTCGCGCTTTCTTTGCCATTGTTATGAGTCAAATTCAGTGCTCTCATTTCAACCGAATTTTTTAAACATCTCATTGTAATTAAATTCACTACGACCCGAGAACATTGTGTGTATCCGATCCGTTTGGAATGTAAAGCAATTGAAATGTAGCACAACCCATGTATACAAACGCCGAGAAAAAAATCGCAGTGTGTGTTTTTTTGTTCTGTCGCCGAAATTGACTTGTCAAACTGTGGTTGTGCCTGGTTGTGTCCACTGTTGGTGTATTCGATGACAGACGACCACACAGCGTCTTCAAATCGTTTGTATGTGTGTATGGTTATAAGCAGCACACAACTCATACAGATCTGTATACGGTAGCCCGTGTATACGGCAGCCCGTGCTTCAATCAATCGATTCATTTTACTTTCGTCGCTGACGTCATCCACTCACTGAAACGCTATATAAGCGCGCACGGCTCTAGTGTGAGCATTCAGTTTGTGTTCGTCAGTCAAACGATTAACGTTAGCAATGGCACCGAAAATCAGCGGAAAAGCAGCAAAGAAAGCCGGTAGGGCTCAGAAGAACATTTCAAAGGGAGACAGAAAGAAGAAGCGCAAGCGTAAGGAGAGCTACTTTATCTACATTTTTAAAGTGTTGAAACAAGTTCATACAGACACTGGTGTCTCCAGCAAAGCCATGTCAATCATGAACAGTTTCGTCAACGATAACTTCGAGCGTATCGCTACCACAACAAACGATCTACCATCACCAGTCGCGAGATCCAAACGGCTGTCCGTCTCTTGTTGCCAGGAGAATTGGCCAAGCATGCCGTCAGCGATTGATCTAAAACCGTCACCAAATACACTAGCTCGAAGTAAATTCGCTGTGATTTGCACCAAACCGCACGAAAAACGGCCCTTTTCAGGGCCTTCAAACAATAATTTATGAAGAATCTGAAAAAATCAAATAATTACTACGCATGCATCAATTTAAATGGATTCTTTCATTCATCCAAAATCAGAATATCAAACACCAATTTCGTTTCATTTGAGGAGGTTGCCTGAATTGTTATTTGCGCCATTTCTTCTTTCAAAGTTAAAAAATCAAATTAACCAGAATATCTATTATTATGGATGAATTGAGTGCGGAGATTACTTTTGCCTCATTTTGTGAGTTTGACAAGTGATGAATGTATTTGTTTGAAAATATTTCTGTGGCAAGTGTGCAAATCACCAACAGATGCAGTCGTATATCGTGTGTTTCTATGTCAGCCATTTCGTTTACATCGTGTACGGAAATGAGAAGAGATTCTCCATTGCATTTATTTATTTATTACGAAGCCTACATTTATGCCAATATGTGTTCCCAGCAAGCATGAAACAGACAGATTCATAGCTAATTGTTTTGTTTGAATGTGTACAGTATGCACATTTTCATTTCTTTTCTTCGCTTCTCTTCCATTCAAATACATCGTTTGGGCTTATCACTTGCAATATAATTAACATGGATGGCTCCATGGCATTGAAGCGTAAGCGATTTATGTATAGTATTCATCGCGCAATATTTCTTTTGTGTGACATTGCTCACGAAAAATGATGAAATTATAACAACTGAAAACGGTCAAACAAAGACGGTTGAGAATTATTGATTCTCGAATGATTTAGTCAACGCTCAAGAAACAACATCCGATTTTATGTCCACCAAATGTACGACTTAATGGCAAATGTATCGAACAGCTAATATCACTGAGACAGATCACAAGAATGCTAACAAAAACTAGTATATTTCTACGAATGGATCAATGGATGTGGCAATTCCCGTTTGAAGAAAATCTACTGATACCCATTTGTTAACACCCTCCAATTGAATAAGTTGCAAATAAATAGAAAATGTATTTGATTTTTTGAAAAAGTTCGCCATAAAAATTATTTGCTGGCACTGAAAAGGGCCGATTTTTGTTGTGAATTTCTATACATAGCGGTGACTGTCTTTCAGTTGGCGCATTCGGTGTAAGTGACGTCACACAGATACAATTTATTTCCAATAGGTGTCTATTTTTCGGACAATATAGCAATCCATCCATATTTTTGGACAAGTTCACACATATTGTCCGGTTTTGTGGCCAACTTCATACTAATACTGTAATAACATGCCATTATAGTATTAGTATGAAGTTGGCCACAAAACAGGACAATATGTGTGAACTTGTCCAAGTGTCAAATGTACAATAGTATATACAATAGTAGGGTTGGCCAAAAAATGAGACAATATGAGTGAAGTTGTCCGAAAATATGGATGGATTGGTATATTGTCTAAAAAACCGCTAAGGGTTGTCCAAAATTACTGTCTGTGCATAACGAATGACGTTTTTGATACTGCCATTTCAAAATCACTAGGTATAAAATACTTACCAATTTCTAAATCTTTTTTCTCATGACGTGCGTGTATTCTCAGTTCGCAGTTTTACGATAAGTAGTAGTTCGCAGTTTTACAAATTGCGAACTGCAAATAAAACATTTAGGAATGCGCATTGCAACACAACCACCTGAATCTCTGTTCAGTTAGATTTTTTTTATCATCGATGCGTTTTGCATTTTCAATAGATTTATGAGGAATTTTATGAAAAAAATTTAAACAAGATGCATCAAACATTCAGAAGACTCACAATGACAATTCAAAGGCGTTTCGAATCATTTGTTGCCAAATATTTTTTTTCAAATTGACAATATTTCATTTATTTTTTGCATTCAATTTTGAAGTTTTCCAAGCAAAAATAGGTGCAATATGAATTTTTGTCAGCTTGTTTCATGAAAAGACGAAGATTTTTTGGTAGCTTCAATACTATTCAAATTGAAAAGTAGACATATTGCTATAAAATATACTGGTGGCTCTGGGTGCCTCTGTGACGGTTTGAGCAATTGGCACACCAAAGAATCACTTGTTAAGTTTTTATAAACAGATTCTAAAATCCAACGGAATGTAGGAATATGACTTTTCACTAATTTTGCGTGAGACGTTCGACACATTGTTCGATCGTTAGCAGAATTTATTTTTGTTCTGCGAACGAACAAACGAACCAAAAAAATTCTATGAACGAACGAACACTGTTCGCAGAAAAATCACTTTTCACTTTTGTTTGTCCGCAAAAGATATTACAGAAGTGTAAATTTTTCATAGTACCAATGTACGCCATCTATTGAAAAATTTTACAGTAAAAGTATTCAGGTTCTTAACAGAAATACAATTGAGCATTTTTTATTGAAATTTTTAGTTATAAGAAGAACATAAACGAATATTTTATTCTAAATTACGAAAAATTGTGTATTGATTTCAACTTGCGTTGTTCGATTGAAGAAAAAATCTTAGTTTTTAGTACTTTAAACTCGAAACATCTAAACTCCATTCTGGTGGTTTAAACCAATTTGTTATTATACAGAATCAATGCGATGCAAATGCCGTTTGAATAGTCATCAATGTATTCATGTATTCCGCGCTCCAAGACATGGACATAGACATTTTCATTGATCTACATGATCGAACATGGCATGGCACAACATAATGGTAAACATACTGGAACAACAGCAGCACCAGACTTACTGGCACTTTTCGATTTGCTTTCAGCTTCATACTCGTACTTCCCGCTACCTTTACCATAACCGCCCTAAAGTGACATGATCAAAATTCATTTTGTGTAGGAATTGTCCATATAAAAAGAGACGGAAAAGGAGGAAACAGTTGATGTTTACAATACAAAGTGAATAAGATGTTCAATGTTTTTTATCAAACAATTTTGGGCTTACTCTAGCTCTCAATGTAGCTTGAGCCTCGCTTTTTGCAAATAGCTCTTTGCCAGGTGGATAGTAAACCGGTGGACCGGCAACATTTTTCGTGGCCAATGCTGTATTGACTTCTTTACGCGGCACATATGGTTCATCGTCGACTTGCACCGTTTCCTATGCATACAATGTACCACACATTCAAATTAAAATCGAAAAACAACGATTTACATTCGACGGAAATTTAGAAAGAAAAACATAAAAAAAACCTCTTCAAATGAAGCCATCAACTGATTCAGATTCTTTGGTGGGCCATCAATGCCATCGGTTGGGAAAGGTGTCAGCAATGGTTGACTATGAGTCTTCGTTGTTGTTGACGACGTTGATTTGTAATACTTATTCGTTACTGGTTCGGGTGGTACATAGACCTGATTTGGTGGCTCATAGACAGTGTTTGTAGTGTTGGTCGTTTCTTTTTTGTACAAATACGTTTGTTTAGCACCTGGTGGAAGACTACCGTTTTGAGGTTGTATACCACCTGGCGGATGGAAAACATTACGAGTGTCATTCGTTTCATTTCGTTCATACAATGAGGTGGTCGTATTAACGGGTGGTGGCGGTGCTCCGCCATACACATTGTTTCTCGTTTCATTGACTTCCTTTTTGTAATAGTACGACTGGTTTGGTCCAATTGACGGTGGAATCGTTCGATCCGAAGTGTTGTGCGATTCACTTAAATGAGTTGTTGTTGTTTTTATTGGAGCATAACTCTCTGGATTATAAGTATTCGATGATTTGGACGAATTGTAAAATTCATTTTTGTATGTGAAATTTTTGTTGGTTGGTGTCTTTGTATCGTCCGGAATTTGATATGAGAAAGTTTTGATCTACAATAAAAAGTTTTCAAAGTGTTCATGGACGAGTTTGAAGGTTAAACCGACAAAAATGTCTAAAAAAGAAAAATCAAAAGTACCGTTGTTGTTACTTTTGTGCCCGGTTGTGGCAGCAAATCATTCGAAATGGGAACATCTTTCAATTCCGGTGGCAAGTCAGTCGTGTCCATTTCCACAATTTCCGTTTTGTATGGCGATGCATTGCGTGTGGTTGTTTTTGAATAGTTGTACGTACGAGTTGTAGTTGAATTTGGAGTGGTCTCAATCAATGGACCTGAATCAAATTTAACCTCCCGACTTGCTTTCGGACTTCGATTGACCGTATCAAATTTGATGTCACGTTCCTTGGGACTTTGGCTTCGTTGGCGTGTTCTTGATTCGTTCATCACTTTTCTTACTAAACTTGGTGAACCCAATACTGAACGGGTCGATGGTTTCGATTCATCAGTCGTTGTCGTTGTTTCGGTGCGAATCGTCTTTGTTGTACTTGAGGGCTCACTTTGGGTAAAAAAGAACGGAAAACATTAGTAAAATTGAAAAATACATTGCTAATTCTGAATTTACTCACAGTAAACCAGAGTCGATTCCGCCATCTGAAGAAAATAAATGGAAAATGAAATAAACTCAAACATTGATCATTTTCATCTCACTCTTTGTTACCTCTATCTTTTGCATTCGCTAAATGTGCAGAAGCTTTATTCACCGTCGATTTTACATCCTCCAATAGATTATCTATGAGGAACAATGGGAAATAAGAAATATAAATTTAAATTTCAGCCGTTTTTACAGTTAAACACTGAAATTGAAATATAAAACTGTGACCCGTACTCGGTTCATTGATGTTGTAGCTTGTATTAGATGAATTTAAATGAACGGTAGCCTTTTTAACCGTCGATTTCACATCGTTCAGTAATTCATCTAAAAGAAATAGAGAGTTAAATTGGTTTTTTCATGTATACGGATTGTAAATGAATTATTACTATTATTTGTTTGGAATTGGCAATTAAATTCGAGCTTGATCAACTTCCACAAATATAAAATCGAAAACTTATTGATTGCTACACCTACCCGGTTTATTGATATCATAATCAGTAAGCCCCGTACTTGCCATCTTTTCTATAGTAATGAAAAAGTATAATAATTAATCAGTTTTATTTTAATTGAATTCGGGTGGAACAAAAAGATCTATTGTCAATATCATTTCAAAATGATATGACATCATCATGTTCATGAATAGTTTTAGAGAAAAAACGGCGATAGAAACAAATTGAATCACATAAGATCCAAGTTTTCAATATTATTCTCGATTTTTTTTTGATTCTTTCGAATCTCTACCTGAAATGGTGAATGGAATTACTATGGGGTATTCCCGAAATGTGGAATAAGATAAAATACAGTATAGAATACATTTGTACAAATCGACCGGGTTTTGTTCATATACGATAGGTTTCAGCGTCCATGCTGCTCACTTGGCTAAGTTTTCGTCAAGGACAAAATTACTCAAAACACGAGTCAATAAGTAGCTCTCTCGTTGAGAATTTGAGTAAATTACAAAACAGAGTAGTTGTAAAATTCAGCAGTAATTGTAACGAAATAACGATCGTGATAAAACCAAACTGAACGGGTCAAAGATTGAACGTTCTTCAGCCAATTGATTACTGTACATTGTGTGTACTGCATATCAATAATAATGACATTACTATATAAAACAAGTCAAAAAAATTCTGGTCGGTACAAATGAAAAATAATGATCTTTCAAACAAAATCAAAAAGTGTTTTATCTTACTATTATTTACTACTTGATCGTTCATCGTGTGTAAAATAGACGAGACAGATAGTAGAGACCTATCACGATGTGTGAATGAACATACAGCCCACACATATTTTTGGGCAAACAATATTACCTCATGTGAAGCCGAACGCCGCCGTTCATTTTCGAATCAACGCGTTTTTAATGTTACAAATAAACATTTTCTTGTTGGCCTTTTGAATGACACAACATCCAATTTTAACGTATAGAAACTATGGACTACTAAATAAACGAAAAGTTTACGTCACACTCAATAATGCACAACACTTCCGACCACGCACTATTTTTTTTTCTTCGATGTACACATGTGAAATATACTAATTTCAATTTGAGCTCTATGCGCCACTGTATGTGTTCACGCTGTTCATTTCGTCCGTCAGTGCCTTGACCAAATATTGAATTGTCGATCGCGATTAAATCATTTTCTACAAATGAAAGGCGATTGCAAAAACCTTCATGGACGAGAGTAATTTTGAATTCAAGTCAAATTATAGATTTTTTTATCATGTTTTTCTTTTCAACTTCTTTGAACGTGGAAATATTTATCAGGCAATTTCATTTTTGTTGCATATCAATTCAAATTCTGGTATTCTATGTCCACTGAATTATTTAGCGAACGAATTTTATGAGGAATATTCAAATCATGGCCAATTACGGTATCGATTTCGTAAGCAAAAATATTCGGAATATTTTAGCTTAAAAAAGCGATCATACTGAATGATACTAGTTCCATAATTTATAACATACTTCCCACGTGATGAAACATCTGATTTCGATTCCATCGAATTCAGTTCGATCACAACGATTTGTTGCAAGATTTAAATGTGCTTCGATCGCATCAAATCAATACAAAATGTATGAATCGGTCTATTGAAATGAAATGTTCCGTACTAATAAGTACTCAGATATCATCCGCATCGTTATTTGTATTATATTTATTAGCGTTAGCTCCTTTAGTTTCATTTATATGATTATTTTATATTTGATGATGTAATAAAATGCTCAAAATCACATGGCCTTTTTAGCATTACATGAAATGTAGTGGTGTAGTCTGGGTTTTTTATTTGACGATTTTTTTTGGAGAAAAAAGGTTGATTTTTAGAATTAAAGAGACTTCCTATTTTATACTCAAATTATTACTTATTTAATTTTGAACCGTGGCACTATTTTGCAAAAATGAAATGAAATCAAGATTTTGTATTAATTCATCAACTGTAAACTTACTTCGATTAAAAGACATTTGAACTGCTGAGAATATTCTTTGGACGTTTTTCGATAAAACATGGAACTTGGAAAAGGTTGTACGAAAAAGCGGGACAAGTGTCACGTTTTAACCCAGAGAAAAATATGTTGAAGTGTCACTTTTGCGAACAAATTTTTCAATATTGACATTTTTAACAACGCTCCGAAACACGTCCAAAGTGTATCCACATTATGCACTGAATTTTTAATATTTTATGGTCCTTTTTTTCACTTGTAATATCGAAACAAGTTCATTTTTTCTGACAACTATTCATGTTGTGCTACATTCAAAATTGATGTCTTATGTCGCACTCTTTTTGAGCTCACTTTTTCCGAAGTCTCGAATTCACATTTGAACATAACAATCCACCGGCTAGAAATAACGACAACACTAGTTTACCTTGAAAAAAAAAAAACTAAACGAAAACACAACAGAAACAAGTGTTCAATGATGAAAAATAAGGTGAATTTCGTGCGCCAAACATTTATTTATTATTTTGCAATACGGCATGTAACCATCGTTCGTTGAACTTAAAAATTGGCAAAGGTCAAGAAAACCAATATAGAACGAGAAAAAATGAAAGACAACCATCAACAAATTTGAAACCAAATATAATGAAGAAAAATGTCTCGATTCGCTCTATGCAGAGCAAATAGAGCAGAATAAAAATGAAGCAAAACTAATGGCGATTTTTCTTTCTATTGTTTACGTAGATTTTTATACACTGTTTTCATTTGTAGCAACAAACTATCAAAACGCAAGCAATTGAGATCGATGGGTTTTGATGAAAGTGTTAGCCCTTTTTAGTGGGATGAAATAGTTTGAATTATATACTTTGATCAGCGATATTTTGAATGTCAACAGAGAATATATTGTGTTTCATAAACCTGTTAGCTTTCCACGGTGGAGTCAGTTTCACACATATTGTATTTATAAATGAGTGGGTGCAACACAAATGCAAGAAAATGTTCAAAAATTCGGATTTGTGTAATCCATATTATGCGGCATTTTGGCGGAATAATTGAAGATATTATTGAAAAATTTGGTATAACAGTCGATTCACCTACATAAAACCTAGGTTTTTGAGACACTTTTTTAATCAAATATTAGGATTTAAGTAACTTATAATTGACATAGCAATAACAAAAATAATATTTTTAGCGAAATTATTTTGAATACATCCAATCCATTTATTTTTTTTCTTTTTAAATATTTTTCATCGTTACTAACATTATTTTCTTTTTCTATTTAAATACCGTAAATTCAGAAATCAAATGATTTCGAAAAAAACATATGGCAATAAAATTCGATAAAAAAGTCCACCTTTAATTCGTGTAATTGTATTGAACGCTACCTTATTTCATAGACGATTTATACTGCAGACTATGTCATATCTCATTTATATTCACTGTATATATAAAAACCAAACTACGTCACCGCAGCCGCCAACTCCATTCATGAATGTAAAACCGTGAATAGAGTGCTTCATTACATTATGGCTTTTGGCGCGCTAAAAATGACACACATGACGAATCGTCGGCATCATCTTTGCTGTTGATCATGTCTAAGTCTTTTTTGTTCAAAGTGTGATTCTGTAAATGATTTGGACTCAATTTGATTGGAGCTGTGATATGGCTTGGACGTTGAATGACGTAAATAACAACAAACCCACGCGATTCCCCAAACAATTATTCAATGTCTATGCTTTTTTTTGGCCCTTTTTCAAGAACTTCACATAAGATTTTTCTGTGAAGAGAAAAACGGTCAATAAAACGATTTTGAGAAAACTGATTATATATCTCTGGATATAGTTTGGTTTTAAGTTCATAAAAATTCGATCGAGATTTATAAGTTTATACAAAATTATTTATAAATAAATTAGTGAGAAGAAGTGAATTTTCGTATCTTATTGCATCTTCTCAAAATGGATTTCCTTTTTACAATAACATTCTCTCCGACGAAAATTGATAAAATCATCAAATGAATTAATGAAAAACGAGCAAATATATGGATCACAAAAAGAAAACAGATAGAGCTAAATGTTTGCGCACAACGAGTTGTGGTCGATAGAATTTATTATTAGCTCCATCTAATAAACTTACATTTCAACCGATTCACTGAATTTATTTAACTTGCTTTTTTTCAAAAAAATTCTATTTCTTTCGTGGCAAATATGTTATTTTATTTTGCCGCTTTTATTCATACATCAATTTGGGATGAAAACAAATTTCATATGTGATTTAAGGTAACACGTATGATACGCACAACCGTGCGTCGATGATTCTGGTACTTGACTGATCTCAAGCCTCCAAAATATCACATGCGTTTTGTAACAACTACCGAATTTCACCGGACTGTGTGTGTGGATTCACTCTTTGTTCGAATGTACATATGCTCGAGTCGCTCTCAATGCGCATTCGCTAGTTCATGCCCCCGCACATTTATGTGTTTATCACATATAGGTTCGCGATCAACTATGACGGTCAAGTTGATTGGTAGCATCGCTTAACATAAAATGGTTTCATAGTCATGCTAGTTTAAGATATAATCAATCCATGGCGCTGTTAATAAACATGTTGTTTGAATTCTTGCATACGAAATAGTTTATGAATCGCCGTTAAATAGGAAATTCACATAAAATAAATAGAATTCTATTCACATTCTATTATTATAGAACTGTCGAATGAAATCATGCTGGAATTTTCAAATAGTATGATAGTTATTTTTCATTACTCTATGTATCCCTAGCTGCCCGAGAGAAATGGCGATTATGTTTGTACGTTCTCTTCACATAGAATTTTTTTTCTTCAGAAGTTCAGACCGCTTCCAGTTTTTATATAGAATGAGATTTGTTTAGTCTAAATAGCGGCGTTTTTCCTAAATCTTCCATATGTAATATGAACTTTTGCGACAAAAAAAACCGTTTAAAACGGCAAAATCATTGCTCTAGTTCCAATTTAAGAATTCATTTCAGTTACATAGTTTGAATATAACGAACGATACGATTCATTCAGTTGATCTCTCTCTTCGAAATAGTGTCTTGTGTATTTGTTCAGTTTATTTTCTCATTATTTGAATCAATCGATTGACAATGTTGAGTCTCTGGACCAAATAATTTTAATTCATTTGAATAAAAATCGTGAAAAAGCTAGTTTTTAAAAGTAAATTGTATGTAATATGTAGTATAAATTTTTCATTTCAAACTTCTTTTTGTTTTCTACGTCGTTTGTTTTCATTTCAACGAAATTGTATATTGTCGTTGGAATATTTCAACTGATAACGCAGGATATTATAGAATGGGTTAAATGAGCTACTAGAAATTTTCTTCAAAAAGAAATTTCTTCGAGTTGATATCACCAAAGTTCGTTAAATTGTATGTAAATAATGTCGCATATGAAGCCGCGATGTCTGTTTTAGGCATTACCTATGAAAATGAAAATAAATTGTATTTCTGAAACCCTATCTCTAGGCCAGTGCAACAAAATTCGCAAAATTCATTGCGTCTCTTCAGATCTTATTATTTGCTGTTAGCGCACCTAAATACGAGCTCAAACCAATCTTTAAAACCATACTTTATGTTTAATTTTTTTCTAGGCCCTACCTAAAAAAACGTAATTTTTCGGGTTTTTCTTCAACAATATAACTCCGGCCATAACTCCGAAATTTTCAAACAAACCCAAATTAATGTAAAATTTGTTTGAAAGTAGATATCATTACAATCACTTTGATACCCTAGTTAATAAAATCGGTTTAGTAGTTCTCGAGATATGGCTCGAAACGTGTGCGCTACTAACAAAAAAATGACGGTTCTGGGTCTATTTTCCGCACAAAATCAAACAAAACTCTTCACATTCGACATGTGTATGCAAGTTCAGCACCTACTTATTGTAGCTGGCATCTATACCAGGGGGATTGAAGATTGACAGTTGAGCTGCACAAAGATAGAAATGTCATGTCATATGGAGACGCCATTTTTATATTTGCTTGGAGCGACTGGAGCGGTCATACATTTCTCATTCATTTTTTTCTAAAATAATATTATTATAACAAGTTAAATATTTTTCAAGTGTATCTCATTTTCATTATCTTTGTTTGGCACAATTATAAAATCATAAAAACATAGTTTCATGAGACATAACATGGGCGTTCTTGGAGCGGCCATCGAAATTGATTACAATAGTAGCCAACATTGATTACATCAATAACCAATATTACAGTGTAATAATTTCAACACCCAATTACATTTTTATTCTACATTTTTGCAAACATGAAGTTTAAAAAGGCTAAATAACACTTTCGTATTAATAAAAATCAAAGAAATAAATCAAACATTGATTCCACAGCAATAATTAATAGCGGCCGATCCAGTTGGAGTGACCGATCCAGTTGGAGCGGAAACTCTACAATTCACCATGGAGCGGCTAATATTGTTTTTCAAAAGAAATAAAAAGAATTACATTGGTAATCCCGAACTTTTCCGTACCGTTGGCCTGCCTTGTCCGTAGGTACTTTTGTTATTTTTTGTGAATTTTCTTGAAATAAAGGCAGTGAAAATACAATAATGAAAATAAAGTGAAAAATCGACAATTCTGTATGAGAGGTACCCGTAAACCGTACCTCATTGGCTTTAAACTTTCTGAGGTTTCATTTTTTGGAGAAAAAATAAGATTGTGAAAGTTTCATGTTGATCGCATTTGCAGAAGTTTGGTTTTTGGCCCTCAATTTTTTCCAAGAAAATTTCGACAAAAATCGAGGACAAAAAATCAAACTTCTGAAAATGCGATCAACATGAAACTTTGAGAATCTTTTTTTTTCTCCAAAAAATGAAACCTCAGAAAGTTTGAAGCCAATCGGAATCGATTAACGGGTACCTCCCATACAAAATTGTCCAAAAATCGGTAATTTTAGTCAAAATGTCAAAAATTTTGTATGGGAGGTACCCGTAAATCAATTCCGATTGGTTTCAAACTTTCAGAATCTCATTTTTTTCCAAAAATGAAATCCCAGAAAGTTTGAAGCCAATCGGAGTCATTTTACAGGTACCTCCCATACAAAAGTGTCAAGTTTTTGAGGTTTTTCTTAGAGCAAGTACCCCAGGGTCAAATCGAAAATGGCTCATCTTCGAACTTAAACTAAGTTCATTGGATACAAAACTTTTGGGACTTTCAGATTTGGATTATCTCAATTATTTTTTGAGTTATCGTGTTTAAAAACAGCTACGAAAACGACAACGACAACGACGACAATGACAACGACAACGACGGCACACGAACGGAAAAGTGTCTCAAAAAGTGGTTTTCTACGCGTTTCATGAGTTTTTATGATGATCTAAGCTAATTTTGCGAAAAAAGTTTTCGGGACCAATTCCTATACTTTCCCTTGACAAGTTGTGTACGGAAAAGTAAAACTATAATAAACGAATTTGAATTGTCTGAAATTAATTTAATCAATGAAAGTAAGAATAT